ACAAGCATCTTTTTCAAGGCACAGCCTAGCCACACCCTGGTGTTCTCTTCCAGAACACATTTCATTTGTTGTAATATGGATAGACTCAACTTTCCAAATCTTCAAATTCTAGTTTCTTTTTGTTCAGAATTCCCAGAAATTAAATTCTCTTTTTGGACGTTACTATAAAGAGTCAGATGGCCATTGGCCAGTGCTGTGACATAGAAGCCTAAGTCCACACCTGCACTGTCAGCATCACATATGGGCACCATTTCAAGTCCAAGCTGCTCCACTTCTTATCCAACTCCATGCTAAGGTGCCTGGAAATTAAGCGGAAGTTGGACCACTTGCTTGGACCCCACACACATCTGGAAGGAGCTCCTGGCTCCTGGCTCCTGGCTTTGGCCTGACCCTGCCCTAGCTATTGGGGATTGACCCAGCAGCTGACAATCTCTCTCCCAGTATGTCTGTATCTCTCCCTTTCAAATAAATTCTTTTGAAACACTGCCAGAAGGCAAGCCCCTGAATCAGCACTTTGCTGAGAATTCACCTCCATTTAATGTCCAGTTTCATTCCTGGCAAGTTATACCTTCTAGAAAAATGCCAGAAACCAAGTTCCCTGCCTCTTACAAACAAGGTTCACCTTGTTCCTGGTCTTCAATCACATCTATTCCTCATTTCCACTGCAGACCTCACCAAAATCCCCATTCCCATCCATAGCTCAGTGTGCATCTGAAAATGCCTCCAGTGGGGACCTGTTCCCCAGGGGCAAAGCTGCTTCTGTCCTTGCAGGATTCATTAGACCTGCACCTCAAGTCTCAGGATGATAATTTGTGTCTGGTGAGACCCTGCGAGGACTTATGGAATATGGACAGTTGTCCATGAAGCTCTGTGTCAGATGGGGTCTGGGATCACTTGCAGGCACTAAAGTCACCATTGCTAAAGTCCTGTACATAAATGGGTAGCATTTGCATTGGACCAAATATTCTCCCGTATGTTTTCAGTTGTCCCTAGATATCTTATTATACCTAAAGACACTACGACATAAATGGTATATTGTGTGTAGAAGAATTCAAGGGGAAAAAGATGGTATATGGACAGTACAGATGCATTCTTTTTCAACTTTCAAAATCACTGCGAATGGAACCTGCACTTGTGGTCCCCTGGATCCCAAGGGCATCATGGGATAAGGCACTGTGTCATGTGGTCATGTAGGCTAGGAAGTCCCAAGACCTGCTGGCAGATGGCTGGCCTTCCAGGAGAGACACTTAGATTCTGGCCTGGAGTCCCAAGTGCAGGAATGGAAACATTCAAGGCAGCCAGGAGGTTTTCCCTGAATTTGCAGGCATTTGGGGAGTGAACCAGTAGGTGGAAGGTATTTCTCTCTCTCTCTCCACCCCAGCACCACCACCTCCCTCTCCCTTTTCTCCCACTGTTCATCCTCTGCCTCTTCACTGTAATGCTGCTTTTCAATAAACTTTTTTTTTAAAGAAGGCAGGTGCTGACATCGTGGGACCCTGGGTAAAGCCATCAATATGACAGCGGCTTCCATGTCAGAGTGCCTGGTTCAAGACCCAGCTGCTTCTAAGCCATATTTCCTGTAGTAATGGGAGGAAGCAGATGGCTCAAGTTGTTGGATTCCTTATTTCAGCCCAGTTTAGCCGTGGCTGCCGCAGGCATTTGAGATGTGAATCAGATGGTACATCTCTGTGTGTGTGTTTCATTCTATGTAGCTCTCCCTCTCTCTTATGTTTGCCTTGCAGATAAATAAATCAGTCTCTTTAAATATTGGAAAACCTGGTTATGGCACTGTGGTATAGTGGGCTTTGCCTCCACCTACAGTGTCTGCTTCCCATGTGGACTCTGGTTCAAGACCCGACTGTTCCTCTTCTGATCCGGCTCTCTGCTATAGCTTGAGAAAAGCAATCTACTTCATATATAAATAGAGAGAGAGAGAGAGAGAGAGAGAGAGAGAGAGAGATACAAGGGTAAAACATCGGCACACCCAATATGAGATGTAATGTATTATAACACTGAAATTTAAAAATCCAAGTGATAGAGAAAAAAATTCAATGGTATGGGCTAACAGGATATTTGCAATAACATTCCACGTTGGGGTGAGAATGCTTTTGAACTATAGAATGCCAGGATCCAGTCTTCAGGAAGAATTCTATTAGAAATCTAGTATTAGACTTGAATATAATAACTGACACAGGCATGAATGGTTAACGCATGGTAAAATTGTTAAAGGAAGGCCATTTTCAAACAGGAGATTTATACATCTTCCAAGCAGCACTCTCCAAAGTGTTTTATTTCAACTCTGAAATTTTATTATCCAAAGTGTATGATTTTTACAGAACAAAAGTAAAAGCAGGTATCAAAATCAGCAAAGAGTTTGTAAAATTTCTGCAGAGAGTTTCACCTAAGTTAGGCTTGGTGAAAGTGGTATCCAAGGAAAAACCTAGATGACTGCTGATTTGTCTCTTGGCATAAATTACCAGGTGGTTTGTTCTGGAGGTACTGAATAACTTGTCATCATCAGTGGTCAGCTGTTGAGAACCAATTCGAGTTGTCAAACAAAGCAAAAAAAATTTTTACATTTTTTTTGTTGCATTGTGGCATTTTACTGAAGCGGCATTTATTTTTTTCTTCTTAGTACTTTCTTTTTGTTTTGAAATTTTTTCTTTTCTTTTTAGCATTTTCTTATTTAGAAAGATAACTAACTGAAATAGCATTGTACCTTGTTTCCTTAGTATTGCTTTTTATGTTTTAAGTTTGAAATTTTTGCAAAGTTGTTAAATTTTATTAATTTGGCATTTTCTCCATTAAGTGAAACAGTGAATAGGAATGGCATTTTACACTTGTCTGAATAATTGCTTTTCTCTTTTGTCATTTGTAAAGTATAATCATTTTTAAATTTAAAATTTTTTTAGCATTTTTGTATTTACAAAAACACTGAACTGAAATGGAGTTTTACTTTTTTTGCTGAGTTTAAATTTTTGAAATAAATTTAATTTATATATATTTCTAAATTTTTCCTATTTAAAAAGTTACTAAAATGAAGTGGCATTTTAATTTTCCTATTACTATTTTCCTATTTTTTGTTTTTTATTGTTTTTAAAGTTTTTAAAATTTTTAATTTTAATTTTTTCAGTATTTTTCTTTCAAACACACTTAAGTGACATTTTTTCTAATTTTTTCTTTTTAAAATTTTTAACAATTTTTAAAATTTTTTTAATCTTTCCTTTTAAAAAAACAAGCAGTACAATTTTTCTTTTCTATTTTTACTTAAATTTTTTTTTCTTTTCAAATATTTAAATTTTTTTTGGAATGTTTCTTTTTATAAACACTTAACTAAAACAGGGAATACATGTCGGGACTTAAATCTAAATTTTTGAAATTCCAGTTACACTCCTGGACACTGGAGAAACTTCTGGGCCTGGACAGCGATATCTTAATGAGAAGTTGTAGATTTTAGGAGCCCAAGATGTGCTGACAGGGTGTCTAAGGCAGCTGTTACACTGAGAGGAGGCACACTCAGGTGGAAACATGATTCCCTCCCTAGGATCCCAATTTTCATGAAAGGAAAACAATTGTGTCATCACAGGTATGACAGACAGTGGAAGTAAGAATGGTAGCTGTGAGAAACAGGTCCACCACAGGGCAGCGGTGCCATTGGCTCGGTTTGTTCATTGACCAGGAACAACTACTAAGCAGCAGGTGTCCAGAATCTTCAAGGACTCGGTTTTCCATGACAGGGGTGGGGGGGGCAGGCATATGGCCCCTCCTCGTCCTGCAGCTGCCTCAGGCTGGCAGGAACATGGCCTTGCTGTTTGCTGGGGCTCTGGGTGCCTTGGCCCACGTCCTGCATCAGGAGCCCCCAGTTCTCCTGCAACACTGAGTGGAGTTGGCAGGACCAGCAGCTGTAAGACATGAGCGTCCTCGTGACGAGGTCCTGCCCGCATCTGTGCTGCCTGACTCTGGACGTGGAGAGAGGAGTGTTCAGAGAGGTGTCCAGTTTCTTGATGCAGGCTCAGTCCACCTCGCCCACCTGGGCCCTCCCTGCCACACTGCTGCATTCATCACCATGAACTTGCTGTTATCACGCCCATCAATGGCCACCTCCTGGGTTGATGACCGGACCTCCGCCAGGGCTGCTGCTCACTCCCTTTTTGCCCAGGCTCTGAGGGGTCACCCTCTCCACAGTTGTTAGGATACGGAGGAAGGAGCACATCTTTAGGATGTACAGATCAACAGACAGCTTTCACCAACTGACCGATGCCAGGGTCAGGGGACCTGATGGGCACACAAGATGTTCTCTGCCTCCTGCAGGGATGTGGGAGGGAGCATACAGCACTCCCTGCATCGGGTGCTTGGCCAAAGAGTGAGGCTGAGTGTAAAATTGAGGAAAGCATCAGAGATCCTCAGGATGCAGACCCTGAGCCAGACACCTGGCCTGCGCCTTCACACAGTCAGCATTCCCATCATGGAAGACAGCAGAAGGGGGAGATGGTTGGGGTTCAAAAGGAGGAAAGAGACCCTTCCTGTCCTTTTGAGCCCCAAAGTCTCCTCCTCCTGCTGTCCTCTATGTGGATGCTGGCAGTGTGAAGGAGAGGGCCAGCTGTCTCGGTCAGGGTCCACATCCTGCAGAGTCCTATCCTCTCCTCTGCTCACATGCAGCCTTGTGCACAGGGCGCTGTGTCTCTGACACTGCCCACACCGAGCTCACCCCATCCAAAGGCAGTGTGTGCCCAGAGTCCTATGCTGTTTGCTTCCAGCTCCTCCTGACTTCAGATCTCTACAGGAGGCAGTTGGAGAGGAGCCAGGTGGTGTTCTCTCCAGAGCAGCTGTGGAGTCAGGCCTGGGTCTCCTTAGGTGTTCACTCGGACTGGAGGTGGAAGACTGTTCCAGCTCTCAAGGAAGCAGCCTAGTGGATAAAAATAGCCGAGGGCAGTTCATGGTGTTGAAATTGCGTTCTTGGTGTTCTGGTTGCTGTTGAAGTGGAGCTCCTGTGGTAGATGTTTGGAAGAGGTGGGGATGTTACAATCAGCAATACTGTTCTGTCCTTCCAACTGTACTTGGGATCTGAAAGAGGGAGAGAAGAAAAATCAAAGGAGAGCTGGGTCAGGTCCAGGTGAGAGCTGAGCCTGCATCTGGGCCACAGTGGGGCAGAAGCCGGGCAACTCAATTCCAGTGGGGAGACTGGCTAAAGGGGAGCCCTGGGCTGCTGAGAGGGAAGTGGCAGCCAAATGAGCAGAGTCCTGCCCTGAACTCCAGCCCAGCTCTGCAGTGCTGGGGAACCAGGGCCCTTGGCCTCTCCTAACCAGGAGTGGGTGATGTCACCCCACTTCCTCCTGCTCTCTGGTGCATTAGAAATGGATTAGTTTTCTGCAGTAAGCAAAGAGAGCCAGGAGTGTAACCACAGCACAACTCATGTCAACAGAACAGACACCAAGTTTCTCTGAAGATGACTCCACATCTAGTTACACCTAGGACCATTCTGCTGTGTGCCTAATAGCTCACTCACTCAACTCTGAATGGAACATTAACTTAAAACAGGCACTCCTCAGTCATCCTAGAGTTTCCCCATTGTTTTTTTCAGTTCCACTAAGAAATTTTCTTTTTGAGAATATCCTGTTTGTATACTGGTCAGAGGGAAGGACAAACAGGTGAGAATGAGACCTAAGAATCTGCATTGGAAATCGGCCTAGGAATAAAATCAGATAAAATGTGATTGTTCAATGTATATTTCTCAACCCAATAGAGGACTTGCAATCAAGTGAGTGGATGGTGAACAGCATGTTTTAGGGAGAGAAGTTCAACTGTAAACATTTTAACTTGATTATGAGGGGAGGTATCCTATTTTGTGGGTCAGGTTTCTACATGACAAAGATTTCTTACTGTATCTTCTACTTCAAATTATTGATCCAAACAGAGAGGTTACAGTTCTACCCTATCTGAACAAACAGAAATGAGCTATACTCTGTGCCCAGTGTAAGAAGGAACAAGTACATCTCAGACACACACACAGGATTACCTCTGTCTAGGCGTGAAGGCCCAGGAATCTGAAGGTCAGTGCCCACATGTTGGTCTGTGGTTTTCCCTTCATCTCCTGACCAGGGAATTGGCACGCAATCTTCCTCTCTGTGGACTGTGGTTTTCCCTTCATCTCCAGGCCAGGGAACTGGCAGGCCAGTTTGCATTTCCTGGGCTTCCATTTTCCTTTGATAACATTTTCTTTTGGGGTACTTGGGACATCGCTGGGGCTGATGCTATGACTCTCACACTTGCTGGTGATGGGATCTTCGTGAGGACCTCCCTCCAGCTGGGAACAGGTCTTCCTCTCAGGGGCAGCAACAAAATTCAGTTCTGAAATAGAACCACAGCCATCAGGATTGGTATTCATGCTCTCTCTCTCTGGCAGTCAGGCCTGCAGCAGAGGGACAAGTAAGGAAAGGGGCCCTGCACAGTCATGTCCGAAGTGGGAGATGAAATCTGCTCAGACACTAAAATGTTTTCATTCGGGTTGATTTTTTTTTTGACAGGCAGAGTGGACAGTGAGAGAGAGAGAGACAGAGAGAAAGGTCTTCCTTTGCCGTTGGTTCACCCTCCAATGGCCACCACATCTGGCGTGCTGCGCATTCGGGTTGATATTATACATATTCACTGATAATTTATCACTAGGCAAAAGTAATAAACATGGCTCAGATGATCACAATATTCAACAAAGTGGGACTAATAAAACACACAGCTCTTAAGCTTTTAAGGCACAGAAACCACACTGGATATCTGTTGAAGGTTTGGGGGGATGGAGCAGGATCATCCAACCTGGAGGGCATTGTAATGAGAGACAAGGACAGGGGACCACTCACAGCTGGAATGAACAACACTAGCACAAGAACACATGCATTTCATACATGCACATGCTTTGCTGAACATACACCAAGCACATCGACTCATAGGATATATGCCTTCAGTGCCTGTCATATAGATAATAATATATATGATGTGGCCATCAATTTTCTGGTCAGTTGAAGTGGGAACCTAGTTACAGGCACCTGAAGAAGGGAGAGACAAGCTAAGGTGAAACACAAAAGTCAGGAAGAAATCCCAGGTGGGCTGTAAGGCATTGCTTTGGCCTAGCACACACATCTCCCTCCTGAGACAGTGTCTGTGCACTTGCCTTCCTCCCCATGACTTCCCAGCCCTGGCACTGGGTGTTTCTGAGACAAAGCCAGACAACCACTGGTCTGTGGCAAAGACAAGTTCAAGGCCTCACTGGGACCCTGAGTGCAAAAAGCCCGAGGGGAGAGACCAGGAATTTTCAGGCCATGGGACACTCCTGAGCTGGAGCTATATCAGAGAACATCAATGAGGTGCTGACCCTGCTCAGGAATGAAGCCCACTGATGCCTTCCTAGTTGGAGATGTTGTGCAGGGCCTTTAGAAGTTCTTGTTTGCAGACCGGAACTTTTCTGTCCCCAAGGTAGGGACAGAATCTCCACCAGGAGAGGTCCAGTGAGGGTTGCATGGATCATGACAGCACAGGGTCTAGCACAGCACAGATGCCCATGAGAGTGGCCTTCATAGCTGGGTGTGAATCACTGTGACCTGGGATGACTCTGCACATCTCTGTACATCTGTACAGAGGAAAAGCGCATGGTCTCACCAAGAAAAGGTGCCTGCTGATCTATAGCACTGGGCGGACAACTGTCATTGTCAATTCTACTGCAGAACACTGAGAAACAGGGAAGGGCATCAGGATTTCGTGATTTTCCTACTGAATGATTTGATGAGTGAAGGTGCCTCAAACCCTAAAGATTCCTGCAGAGAGAAAGTGTAAAACCTCACTGAAGCTCAGATTCAAGGAAATTGGACTTTTTCTCTGCCCCTCCCCATGAAGCCATACTCTAGGGCTCCTACTCAACAAGAGGCACTCTGCCTGTGATGACGTGAGGGACCCCTCAGCCTCACTCAGATACTGAATAGATTCCTGTCTTGGTGCAAGGTTATGGAGGCTTTGCATGAGAAAAAAATGCCGAGTTTAGACACTGGATTAAAACTACAGACCTCATATGAGCACAAATCAGTGCTGTTAAGCAGAAGATGAAAACCACACCATGGACACAGGTGTGGGACTGGACTGCTGTGGTTAGCACCAAGCTGCTTCAGAGAAAACAGAGTCTGCCGACCAAGGATACCTAGTATCAGAGAACTAAGGAAACATTGTACAGACTGCCAAAGCTTTAAGCCTGAGAAGTTTGGAGGATGCTGTTCAAAATTGCAACTGTTGTTAAAATTAAGAACATCACAGTGACTTGTTCAAGAAGCCTCTCCAAGAGAGATGGTGGTGGCTCGGTGTTTGCCATCCTGCCTTCCCATCCCCTCCTTCCCTCTCTTGAGTCAAAAGCTGCACCTTGAAAGCGGGCCTGGTGACAGCCAAGGGATTCCCCCATTTGATGACTATGAACAAACTCCACCCAAGAGCCACATCCAGTCTGAGATAAGTCCCCAGGGCCTGAGTGCACAGTGGTCTGTCTCACCCAACACAGGTGCACCAACCCAACACTACAGAGGCCACCTGGGAGACCAGTGGAGTGTTCCCGTTGACAATGGAGCACTCACTGTCTACAACAAGAGCAGAGCAGACAGGCTGTTTCCCAGTGAGGACCAGGTGCTCCTAGAATGGGACCAGTCAGAAGCTTCTGGAAGAAGTGCAGGAGTCAAACACGTACCATGAGAGTCTTGTGAGACATCTTGATCTTCAATCTCTGGAATCTCCCTGATGAGACTGGAGGGAGGGAAAGGTGGGTGAGAAACATAAAGGGAACAGAAAGCCCCTTTCCAAGCAGTTCCAAAGAGGCAGCTTCCAGAAGTGGCTGTGCTGAGCAAGGGGCCACCCACAACCTTGTCCCTATCTGGGGAAGACTGGCTTCTAATTCCCTAGTAGTCCATGCCACACTGTCTGCTCTGCCTCCGAGTTACCTGGATGTGTATCTCACAACTTGCTCTTGTACCTCCACTCCATGATATTGATTTTCTGCAAACAAATTCAGATAGAATGACCAGGTTAAGCAGGTTTTGGGTCAGATATGAGTATCCGATGGCCACTACTACCAAGGGGACAGGTTGTTCTCGTGTGAGAACAGGAGACTGTGACAGAAATCCTCCAGGAGGACTAAGTCGACATCAGGAGATGGGCTGGGTGAGCCATCCTGGGCAAGGGGTCAAATCTCCCTGTTCACAGTTGGATCACCATCTCAATAACCTCTGTCCAGAACCCTTAGAAACAGCCTGCAATGGGCCTCAGGGATTCTAAGCTCACAGCCCAAGAACTTTCTAGGAGGCAAACTACAGTTGTCTGGATGCTCTCATTAAAGGACCCAGGTTGCTGACTGTGGAGAAGAGGTAGAACACTGGGAGAGAGCTATGCATGGAGTCTGCATGCCCTGGAATTGAAACCTGTTTGATGCCACAGAGAATCTTGGCTATTCTAAGAGTTTGCTCATGAATAATCTCCCTCTTGTCTATGGGAACAATACAAGCAATTCAAGAGCATGTATTTCTGGACGAACTCTTTCCTAGTCTATTCATCTCCAAATGGAAACGCCATTGAGAACATGAATGACAGAGATGCCTATATGGATGCTGTGGCCTGGACAAGCATGGATGTCAAAGGGCAGAGCTGAGGTTTGGGATTGAAGAAAAAGTAAGCACGTGGCGACAGTGATCCTCCAAGGTTCCAACCAGGAGGGAGCAAACACCACCGGGGCACATGCTGCTGAGCTTGCTGTGAAATGGTCACAACTCTGTTCCATAACAAATAAACAATATGAATTCTAACTCCTGCTTACAGCTCAATTCAGGATTTTGAGTCTACAACCACAAGTCTGTAGGTCTGGCACGTAGCAATGACTTCACTCATCCTCAGTGGGGATAGGAGTACAAGGACAGAGCAGTCACCAGGGGCAGAGATGAAGGTTTACCTGCTCTCAAAAGGGATCATTCTGTACATAAACTGCCCACCAATCTGCTCTGGCTTTCTGAGCATAAGCAGCTCCTGTATGCTTGCAGTCAGACATGCCAGCCACAACTGGAGCCTAGAAACGTTCATCCAGGGAACTCTGTTCTGTGAAACAGCAACCACTTTCGACAGAAATGCAGATGGGCATGCCTCACTGGGACCCTGAGTGCAAAAAGTCCGAGGGGAGAGACCAGGAACTTTGAGGCCATGGGGCACTCCTGAGCTGGAGTTCTATCCTAGAACCTCAATGAGGTGCGGACCCTGCTCAGGGACGAAGCACACCAATCCCTTCCTAGTGGGAGATGTTGTGCAGGGCCTTTAGAAGTTCTTGTTTGCAGACCAGAACTTTTCTACTGATATTTGAAATTCTCTCAACACAATTTGTTACAGAAGAAAAGTTTTAAGTATGAATACCCATAGCAGCCACATCACTGGCATGTCTGCTGAAAACAAGTGGACTGAGCCTACAGACAAGGGGCAGGCCAAGGAGTGGTCTCTGATTGCAATGCACACAAGGTGGGGTGACCTGGGAGAGTGACCTTGTTGAGCCTCAGGATCCTCTCCCCAAGGTGGGGACAGAATCTCCACCAGGAGAGGTCCAGTGAGGGTTGCATGGATCAGGACAGCACAGGGTCTAGCACAGCACAGATGCCCATGAGATTGGCCTTCATAGCTGTGTGTGAATCGCTGTGTCCTGGGATGACTCTGCACATCTCTGTACCTCTGTACAGAGGAAAAGTGCATGGTCTCACCAAGAAAAGGTGCCTGCTGATCTATAGCACTGGGGGGACAACTGTCATTGCCAATTCTACTGCAGAACATTGAGAAACAGGGAAGGGCATCAGGATTTTGTGATTTTCCTATAGAATGATTTGATGAGTGAAGGTGCCTCAAACCCAAAAGATTCGTGCTGAGAGAAAGTGTAAAAGTTCATTGAAGCTCAGATTCAAGGAAATTGGACTTTTTCTCTGCCCCTCCCCATGAAGCCATACTCTAGGGCTCCTACTCAGCAAGAGGCACTCTGCTTGTGATGACATGAGGGATCCCTCAGCCTCACTCAGATACTGAATAGATTCCTGTCTTGGTGCAAGATTATGGAGGCTTTGCATGAGAAAAAAATGCCGAGTTTAGACACTGGATTAAAAGTACAGACCTCATATGAGCACAAATCAGTGCTGTTAAGCAGAAGATGAAAACCACACCATGGACACAGGTGCGGGACTGGACTGCTGTGGTTAGCACCAAGCTGCTTCAGAGAAAACAGAGTCTGCCGACCAAGGATACCTAGTATCAGAGAACTAAGGAAACATTGTACAGACTGCCAAAGCTTTAAGCCTGAGAAGTTTGGAGGATGCTGTTCAAAATTGCAACTGTTGTTAAAATTAAGAACATCACAGTGACTTGTTCAAGAAGCCTCTCCAAGAGAGATGGTGGTGGCTCGGTGTTTGCCATCCTGCCTTCCCATCCCCTCCTTCCCTCTCTTGAGTCAAAAGCTGCACCTTGAAAGCGGGCCTGGTGACAGCCAAGGGATTCCCCCATTTGATGACTATGAACAAATCCACCCAAGAGCCACATCCAGACCGAGATAAGTCCCCGGGGCCTGAGTGCACAGTGGTCTGTCTCACCCAACACAGGTGCACCAACCCAACACTACAGAGGCCACCTGGGAGACCAGTGGAGTGTTCCCGTTCACAATGGAGCACTCACTGTCTACAACAAGAGCAGAGCAGACAGGCTGTTTCTCCAGTGAGGACCAGGTGCTCCTAGAATGGGACCAGTCAGAAGCTTCTGGAAGAAGTGCAGGAGTCAAACGTACCATGAGAGTCTTGTGAGACATCTTGATCTTCAATTTCTGGAATCTCCCTGATGAGACTGGAGGGAGGGAAAGGTGGGTGAGAAACATAGAGGGAACAGAAAGCCCCTTTCCAAGCTGTTCCAAAGAGGAGGCTTCCAGAAGTGGCTGTGCTGAGCAAGGGGCCACCCACAACTTTGTCCCTGTCTGGGGAAGAATGGCTGCTAATTGTGCAGACAGGATGCTATGTCTTCCATTTGAGGAGGTTCCTTGCTGACCACCTGGAGTAGACGAACTGAACGTTAACACAGGGCAGCTTGCATGTGAGGAAAAATGAAGTGCTCATATGAAGCATGTGGCAAACAAATAGCCAGGTAAAACAGAAACCCCACTGCCTTCACTTAGAATAGTAAGTATGTGTAGATATATAATATTTACACATGAATCATCTACAGCCAAATATTAAATGTTATTAGATCTATGTGCTTGTAGACTTCTTTATGCTTATTTGTACTGCTTGAAGTCAATGAAAAGTAAACATGCAAACAGAACTCTCATCTTCTTGGAGAAAGAGTATTAGGTTTGAAGTGATAGGTGAGTAGCAGAGATATTGAAAGGGCATGGAGACAGAAGCAGAGAGAAACAGAGGATTTCCTCTGTGATGAGGTCATTAGGGACTCAGCCTGGAGATATGACTCAGTTGGCCCACTAGTACTCATGAGTATTTGGAAAACAAAAACTGGCTTCAACAGATTTATGTAAATTATATGCAGAGTCAATGAATTCCCCTTGTGGGATACTGGAGACTATCACAGCTTTAGCCGTCAGTCTTATTCTCAGTGCTGAGGCACTAGTTTCTGTCAGGTGGTTTCATGTGATTAATGGGGGGCAGAGAAGCTCATGAGAAGAGGAGACCTGTGAGCAGCACCCTGCCCTTCACTGCACGTGAGAGAGGCAATGATGGCAAGGAATCCCTGGAGAGGCTCCTTCATGGAGTCAGCCTGCTGCAGGTCACTACATGGAAAAGGTAGGGAGAAGTGGAAACCCAGACTGGTACCCTAATGATGGCAGACAGCAGTGCTGATGGGGTACCGCTGGGTTGGCTCAATGGATGGGAGATGCACAGTGGCACTGCTCTTCTTCTCTGGACCTGGAGTCTGCCCGTGTCAGCACTAAGCTCACTGCCCAGGGTTCCTAAGACTCACCTGGAGTATGATAGGGCTTGTGCTTCCTCTTGCACTTCATCATTGTCATGTTCCTTTTCTGCAAAAGAATTCAAATAGGCACAGTCATCTAGGATGATCCCCTCAAAGCCTGTACAATGCGCTGTCCAGCGCTAGCACAGCACACCAGTATCCTCAGTGTCACTGCCAACTCCTCAGATAGGAATTGTCTAGAGGGTGGAGGTCATTTCTGAGGGAACTAGCTTGTTCATTTTTCTTTGACACATGAGGTAAACCTCCCTATTCCTCCAGTCATCACACCAATAATTGCTGACCTGATTCCCTACACAAATGAAACAAATTTTCCCAAGTGTGGGTGCTGTAGCATAGCAGGTAAAGTTGCTGCCTTTAACCCCAGGATCCCATGTGAATGCCGCTTCAAGTCCTGGCTGTTCTACTTCTGATCCAGATCCCTCTAATGCACCTGGGAATGCAGTAGAAGATGGTCCAGTACTTGGGCCCTGCACCCACATAGGAGACCTGGACGAAACTCCTAGTTCCTCCCTGGGCCTCGTCCAGTCAATGCCATTGTGGCCATGTGGGGAGCAGACCAGAGTATGCAAGAGTTGCCTCTCTCTCTCTCTCTCTCTCTCTCTCTCTCTCTCTCTCTCTCCCTTTTTCTCTCTCTAATTCTGCCTTTCATAAGGTAAAATAAAATCTAAAATAATATTCTCTGGTGATGCTTGGTTCCTAGTGTGATTCCTTTCCATGAGAGGAAGTGCAGTGCCCATGGTTCTCAAACAAGCTATCTTGGTAGTTTGTGGTTTACCATATTTTGTGCATTGAGGATAAGATAAAATGTGGAACAGGTGACTTTTCAGTTCTAGGTATCAGAGTGCATGTGTGCAGCACAAGAGAAAACTTGGCTACTCATGGAATCTCTAAGCACAGGTCTCAGACTTGCAGCCTGGGGACACACTACTAAAGGAATGACAGAATATTCTGTACGTGTGGTAGGTGAAATGATGCCAACTTTGAAGGGACAGACAACGTGGTTGGGTTCAATGAAACAGGGGGAGTATCTTGACTGCAATGGAGACGAGCATGCTGCTGGCTCTGACAGGAAACAATGTCACATGACAGGGACGGGAACTGACTCATGTGATCAACACTGCAGGGGGCAGAGGGGTCTGCTTCATTCAGAACAGATGGCAGAGACAAGCATGAGATGTGCTGCTTAGGTTAGTGTGCATCTGTGACATTCTTCTGGCAATGACTGAGCACTGGAATCTGAGTGACAAAGCCACACAAGGAATGGGAGGACAGCAAGGCTGGATGGGCCAACCACACCTGTGCAACAGACTGGTTGAAAAAGAACAGATGCTGAGAATGTCTCAGACCATCCCATGTCCAGGAGCCCTCTCAGTCAGGTAGCAGTGAGGAGTGCAAGGATAGTGCGGGCTCCTTGGCAAGCAGAGGGGGTTGTATCACCTCACAGTGGGGGACTCACTCATGTCCTGCTGCTCCAGGGAGCACCAGCTGCTCCACATGGAATGGTCAAGCTCAGAAACGACTGGAGAAATCGAGGGAGTGAGGTAGCACTCGTCCAGTGAGTCATCTGGGTCTTCCTGCTCTTGCTCCTCTGGGAGCTCCCTGCTGAGATGGGAGGGCAGAGACACTGAAGACATGCATCACAGGTACAGAAGTGACTTTGTCATCAGACTACAGGTTAAAATATGTGAGGGATTTTCAAAGGGGGAATATAGAGGGAAACAATACAAAAGGGAACGTTAGGAACAGAGCCATTTCATCATTGGCTGAATGTTCCAAATGGCTGTAGTCACCAGTTTCTCCAGCATTTCGATTCCCTAGTAGTCCATGCTACACTGTCTGCTCTGCCTCCGAGTTACCTGGAAGTGTATGTGACAACTTGCTCTTGTACCTCCACTTCGTGATATTGATTTTCTGCAAACAAATTCAGAGAGATTGACCAGGTTAAGCAGGTTTTGGGTCAGATATTGGTATCCAATGGCCACTACTACCAAGAGGACAGATTGTTCTCGTGTGAGAACGGGAGACTGTGACAGAAATCCTCCAGGAGGACTAAGTCGACATCAAGAGATGGGCTTGGTGAGCCATCCTGGGCAAGGGGTCAAATCTCCCTGTTCACAGTTGCATCACCATCTCAATAACCTCTGTCCAGAACCCTTAGAAACAGCCTGCAATGGGCCTCAGGGATTCTAAGCTCACAGCCCAAGAACTTTCTAGGAGGCAAACTGCAGTCATCAGGCTGCTCTCATTAAAGGACCCAGGCTGCTGACTGTGGAGAAGAGGTAGAACACTGGGAGAGAGCTATGCATGGAGTCTGCATTTCCTGGAATTGAAACCTGTTTGATGCCACAGAGAATCTTGGCTATTCTAAGAGTTGCTCATGAATAATCTCCCTCTTGTCTATGGGAACAATACAAGCAACTCAAGAGCTCTCTACCCAGGCCCTTTAGGATTTATGTATCTAAAATCTAGGAGTGTTGCTATAATACTGACTCATCCTATCACACTGATCATGGTGAATAAGGGTAGAGGAGTTTCTATAGAAGGCTGAATGAACTCTATAACACCTCATATAAATAAATCTATGCAGTTATAGAGAAAGATTGAACACTGATTTTGTAGGGACATTGCTGGATTCAGCTATGTTTTTTGAACTGTACAGGAAGTACAGTATAAAACACTTTATGTCTTGGTTTTGAGATGATTGCATAGCTAAGATAAGCTGTCTTAAAGGAGACAGAGACTAGGGATGGAAGTAGGGAAACTAGGATCACAACTTGGCCCACACATGGGAAGTGTTACCCAAAGCCTGCATGGGGATAGAACTCCAGGGATACAGTAGCAGAACAGAATGATATCACTGCAGGTGACAGCAGGCATTATTTCTAAGTTAGAGTGTCTGAAAGGCACTTCCTACACAGGGCCTCTGTATGTTCCCATAGGCTAGGGTGCAGTGAGACAAACTGCATCTGAGGGGAGGGAAGCTCCTTGACTCTCCTGATGTCTATGTTCAGTGCCACAACCTGGACCCTGACTGAAACCAACTTGTGTCTGCAGGGCCTGTGCTCAAAAGCAACCCTCCACCTGAGAGTCATTGTGTACAAAGAATGGAGAGGCTACCTGGGAGAATGGTGACAGGTTCTTCTTTCTTGTGCGAAGAAGCGTGTCCCCCGTCTACACCTAGCACACCGTGGGTGTCCTCAGCATCAGGAGACATTTGCACAGTGCCCTCAGGCAGGCAGGAGTCACTGGGCAGGTGGTCAACAGCACCAGTGATAGATGTTTCCTGCTGTGAACTTTGTGGGGTTTCCATTTCATCCACTTCCAAGAACTCCCTGAGAAGCCAGGTGGGATAAGGATGACAGAGATTAAACCAAGAAGGAAGAGACACCAGGGAGTTGGCTGGTTTGGATGGGGTGCATAAGGGATCGGTCATAGACAGCATAGAGGCGGTTCCCTCCACTCTGGACACCGTGTGGCTGCCTAGGAGGAGAGGGCCTGGGAAGAGATCAGCCTCTGCTCATCACACTCAATACACAACAGCTAATGAGGAAGCAGCCTCCACTGTCGCTGCATGGCACAGTCACAGCACAAGCACACATTGACAGCCGCGCGGGCTGACACCCTGTGCTCAGGTTGGGTTGTTGCAGTGTCCTGCAGCCATGTGATCAAGGTTTTAGGGGCTTGGCAGATTCTAGAGATGTGCTACCTTCTGGGCCTTCTCTTAACCAAGTCACAGGACAGCAAACATGGTTTGCAGAGGTGCTTTTCTGCAGTTGAAACTGGCTGGATTCTTCCTAACTGCTCCCTTTGCACATTGCCTCTTTGCTAGTTTTCTCTGATGAGAACTTCAGCGAACTCTGTAGAAAGCAGATGCCCATCTTCCTCTGCTTTTCCAGAAAGCACAGAACAGGGGTTCTGGAATTTTGTTTGCAGGCAACACCTAAGGCTGTGAGTTCATGATGGATCCTATTAGCAACTCGGACCAGGACAACAGACAACTACTTTAACAGGGGGATTTCCTAGTTGGCAAGGAAGGACTCAACACAATCTGCAGTTGTGTTTCTGCATGCATCTCAACTCCATGACTTCTCGGCCCCTTTTCTGTTCTTTAGGAGACCCTGCGCATCCTTCACCCATTTGTTGCCAGCTCCTAATCATTCACTATTACCTGTCAGCAACAGGTCCTTGTGCTGGTGTTTCCTCCTCTTCAATATTTTCTGTAAACAAATTCAGAAATGTCCAATCAGATATTATAACCCCCCACCCCACTACAATCAAGGTGGCCTCTGTGTGCATATGAATATCTACACATGTGCCAATAGTGTGTTTAAAGGAACACCTTGCCATTCTCTTGTGGTCCATCAGGCTTTGTGTCTCTGCACTTGGAGATCAGAACCATGGCAGATTCTGCCTGAAACTAGGCCAACATCCTTTGCTCCCATATCACTGGAAGCTTCTCAAGCTTCCCTGGGACTTCTGCCTATTATCCCTCATCCTGCCACTAGTGGGAGTCCAAGGCATGGGTTCTATGTTCCCATGGGTCTCACAGAGAACCTCCATCTGTCATGAAGAAGCAAAGAACCCGACTTCCATCCCTCCCTCACAGGCCCTCCATGTTTTCTCTGCTGTATCATTAGAGGAAATTCTCTCTGTGTTATGAGTTCCCTTCTCAACAGCTTTCCTCATGGAAGTTCTACTAACTCTAGTGCTTGGTCTGGCACTCCCAGGGAGAGGAGGGCCTTTGTTGTATTGGGAAACATACAAAAAACAGCTCCCACCTTTGATGGTTACATCTGCTCTGCCCCAGATTTTTGGTCCATCTAGTGAATGAGGAGAGAGAAATCTTGGATGGAGAAAGCAATCAGCTGTCTACCATTTGAAAACCACACTGAGCACAGAGCTGGAGGCTTCCATTCAAGTTAGCTCAGTGACTTTGTTCAGCCTAACAGTGGCCTCACTTCACAAGGTCTTTCTGGTCTTGATATGAGGATGGACCCTGCCTCTTGCCCCAAAGGCCAACCACAATCAGGAAGGGAGGAGAGCTTTGGGATACTGCAAACTTGAAAGACTTCTCTGCCCCTATCTGTTTTTCCCAAGCAGAGCTGACCTAGTCATGGCACACATGTTCAGTACCAAGAAGAGCTGAGGCAAATGCCCATGGCAGAGATGAAAGCATCTGAACCCCTGAGGCTTCTCACATGACAGCCTGTGCCCAGCTTACCTGCTCCAAGCAGGTCCTCAAGGCACGCTGACAGCCGAACAGCCTCAGTGAGCAGTCGTCGGAAGCCCTGCCCCGTACAGGTCCCAGGGTCATGCACTGTGAGCACGTCCTTCAGGTACTGCTGCAGGATGTGGGCTAGATTTCTCCCCCTTTGGACCTTTGGACGTAACTGGGAGAGTTCTTGGTCCTGATCTTCAAGGATGCCACGGCAATGCCTAAGGTGCAAGCGTGGAGAAAGTTCTAGATGGGAAGGGATGAGTGTTAGGTTCTCTGTGTTTCAACAGATTTTCATAACAATGCCTTATAGAGCCCTCCACCAGCATCACCACTCAGGTTTGGAGAAATACCTGTGCCAGGAAAAGCAAAGAGCAACACAAGGCCTTGCTCCCAGTTTTAGAGAAAGATCTTGTCACAATTCCTGAGATTCCATTCAGGTCATGTTCTATCAACAGTGCAAGGATTCTTCCTTCCTCGCCTTCATAAAGGTGCTAATTCAGTTCCTGCTTCCAGCCACAGGCATTTCCATGTAGGAAGACACACAGTGTACAGTGCAGTGACTGGGAATCATGGTGCATGCAGGGGTTACATGGCAAGAAACAAGAATGAAGGTCTGGCAGGGCCAAGCTGAGCATCAGTCTTCTATATCAGGAGGTGATGGTGACTAAGGGTAAATGAGGATTGATTGCAAGATGACCAAACAGAGGAGCCCAGCATCCCCTGCTCCTTCAAGAAGACCCAATGCAGCTCCATCTCGAGGTGAGTGCCCACAGAAAAGCACCTCCACACTAAGGGAACCATGAGAATATGGGAGCAAGAGAGAACAGGCATAGTGCCACTGACAGAGGACCAAAGCTAACTGGTGACTGGATTCTCAGAAACACAGCCACGGGGATTTCCTGTGGCAGAAGAGAGAGTAAACAGGAGGGCCCCATGGGAGCCCATCCACCTGGACACCTTACTTACAGACTCTCTGCACTTGCAGCTCTGAATTCAGATTCCTCTGCTCCCTCCTTGTTTCATAACGTCTGAGACACAGGGCTTTGCTGTAAATCTCTGCCCTTGTTTGGCACAGGCTGGCTCAGTTTTTGATTTGGGCTGCCCACTAGTGAAACACATCCCCACCTGCCTGCCCTACACAGAGAGCCTTACCTGAGCAGCTCAGCAGACCTGGGCTGCTTTGGCAGGTGCTCTCCACGTGTAGCTTCTTGGTCAACATGGACTCCATGATGTCTTTTTTTATGATTATTATCTATGCATACCATTTCATTTGGGAAATAAACAGTAATTGAAGAGGGAAAAATGTATTTTCATTTTAATTTCTCCTGAAGGGAGAATTTTTTCCAAGTCCCTATTCACTTTTACTTTCATTGTAAAATTAATTTTTACCATTTCTTTCTAAAAATTTATTCATTCATTTATTTTAAGGAATATACATTTCATGAGACAACTTTAGGAACATAGTTATTCTTCTCCCCATACCCAGGGTACCACCCACACTCCCAGCCCAGCTCCTCTTCCTTCTCTACTTCTCAATCTTATTCTCCATTAAGATGCATTTTCAATGAACTTTGAACACAGAAGACCAACTCTATATTAAGTAACAATTTCAACAATGCGCACACACACCCACCCAAGAATAAAAACTGTTTGAGAAATGTTTCACTGTAACTCTCTCTTAATACAACTCATTGAGGACAGAGGTCCTGCATGGGGAGTCAGTGCACAGTGACTCCTGCTGTTAATTTAACAATTAGCACTCCTCTGTATGTTGTCAGGGACCACACAAGGCTCATGACATGAGCTGACTAGGCTATGGAAGCATTTTGAAAACTCTGTCTGTATTTAGACAAGGCCATCAGCAAAGTGGAAGTTCTCTCCTCCCTTAGAGAAAAGTGCATCCTCCTTTGATGGCCACTTCTGTCTGGGGTCCCACAGTGATCCTACATGGAGAACATTGTTTGCCACAGTGCCTTGGCTTTCCATGCCTGAGATGCCTCAGTTCTCCCTTCTGAGCTGCCCCACCAGAGACACCCACACACCTCCCCACCTATCTGCCCCACACAGAGACCCTTACCTGAGTAGCTCTGGGACCGTGGGCTTCTCTGCCAGCGGCTCCTCCAAGTGGAGCTTTTTGGTCAGTATGGACTCAATGATGTTTTTAAACTTCTCACAATCTGGGGAAAGACAGACACGCAGAACTCAGGGAGGTGCTTTTGTAGTCAGTGCCTGCTGAAGACCAAAAGAACTCCAGGGCCAGGCTCCAGATTGGGAGTTTCACATCTGTATTTCATCACCTCACTACATAGCATCTGAAATTTCCTATTTTTAAAAGATTTATTTATTTATTTGGAAGGCAGAGTTACAGAGAGACATAGGCAGAGAGAGAGAGACTCCATCAGCTGGTTCACTCCCCAAATGGCTGCAAGGTTGGAGCTGTGCCAGTCTGAAGCCAGGAGCCAAGAGCTGTTTCTAGGTCTCACATGTGGATGCAGGGGCCTAGCCACATTGGTTATCTTCTACTGTTTTTTAGGCCATAGCAGAGAGCTGGAGTGGTAGTGGACCAGCCAGAATTGAACTAGTACCCATATAGGATGCCAGTACTGCAGGCAGTGGCTTTACCTGCTGAACCACAGCACTGACCCTGCTATTTCCCAATAAAATGGGAAAAAAGGACTTCAAAGATACAGAAGATGACTTGACAATGTGATTCCACTGGTGTTTACAGAATCAGAGTTCCCAGCCCCTGAGCTCAGACTGAATCATGAGCCAATGGACTCAGCAAGTCTTGCAGCCTCTCAGGTCAAACAGGAACCTGGGGCATGAAGTCGTCACCTTTTGTATGTTTTGGAGCTTGATAAGGGTGTAGGACTGTTTCCTTGCATTGGGAAAGATTTCAAGTGTTTGTTATTTCAGACTTAAGGGACCATCTTTCATGGAACTGTGTAGAGTACAATGTATAACAAAGTAAGGCCCTGAGGCAATATGGCCCAAGAAAAAGTATAGTTCCTGCTAAATTAGAAACAGCACAATAAGGGCCTCATGGATTCTGTTGATCTTGAGCAAGGAACCATCCTTGGAGTTGTATAGGAAAGAAGGAGTGCATTTTATTGTGACAATCTACAGAGGCACCCAGATAGTACCTATGAATGGGAGAGAAATCAAAGTTACAGAGAAGGTGGGCAATGGGGGCACCCAGGCGAGTGGCCCTGATTCCCCCCCTACACCCTGTGCTCCCACTCCCAGGTCTCAGGCACTGTCTTCCTCTTCTGGAAGAAGAACTTGTGCTCCAGGAGCAGGACTTTTCTCCCAGCGGGGAGGCTGTGTTGTGAGAGTGTTCCCATGGATACCAGAGTTCCAGTGCACAGGAGACTCTCTGTCTCTCTGGAAGCCCATCCTGCTCACTCTGAACACATGTCCACTTCTGGACCTAGGACAGTGCTTTGCCAATGGGAACTCAACAGAAGCTTGAATTGAGTGAAATGCATTAGCCCCAGAAATGAGGCCCACAGTGATGGTATAAGGCTGCAGGAGCTGACACAGACAGGATGATCATAAACATGCACTCAATGCCTCATCAGGAATCCATGACAGATTCAGCACTCCTGTCACCCTACACCTCACTGCTAACCTGGAAAACTTGCGAAACCCTGTGTGTCAGCTTGGGAGTGTGGTCAGGAGGAAATTAAGTTTGGTTAAAAGAAGACAAAAATCACGTAGTGAGGTAAACCATTTAGCTCCTCAGGAGAAGATACAGGACAATCATCACTGTGGTGAAATGACCCGAGAGAACTTACTGTATTTTTTCAGCTCCATGGCCAGGGCAAAGTTTGTAGCCTCAGCTATGAGAAACTTCTCCTGGAGCTCCCAGCAGTCCTGTTGGCTCTTTGCCAGCTGGGATCGCAATTGCTGGCATTCGAGGTCGTTCAGTTCTGCCACAGGATCTGATGCAGGGCTGTGGGATCCCGCCATGCTGATGGTGTGTCACGGCAGGACAACAGGGACTGGGGAGAGGAAAGCCAAACACAGGCCAGGGTCAAACAAATGACATCCAAGAGTTTCAGGTAGGCTTGGGGGGTGACAATAACCAGCTTCACTTACTGATGTGAAACTCCTGATCCACAGCCCGACAACACTGGGAAGTTCTTCTCTGGACAAACAAGGATAAAACTGCCAAAGCCTAGATTGAAGGCACTGCCTGTAGCTCAGTCTCTGCTAGGACTGGCTGTTGTGTGGCAGCTAACGGTCTGCCGTTGCCATCGCAGAATTAGAAGGTGGAGCATGTCATGGAATCTTTGGAACTCTGCCTTCCAGGGGCCTAAGCTAGGTTGAGGCACAAGACCCCCACTGGTGGGGACAACCTACCCATCTGCCAGTCTCATAGTTATAGATCCTGTGCTGACACCACAGACCGTGTCCCCAAATCACCTAAGCATGTATCGCTCGTATAGTCATGTATGTGTATGAAAATACCAAGGCAGAAAATGTGTCCCAACAAGCCTTCCTTTCTCAGGGCTGTTAGGAAGTCACCCCACCTGCTGTTTAAAGATATCTCAAGGCTTTTTTACCTGTTTGAAATGGAGAATTTTACGTTTCCTTGTTAAATGTGTCATTTCATTTTTGTGAATGAAATTTTGAGAGAGCTCTTTCAGTTCTCTGAAGAGAATTGTTATACCAGGTATGCAATTTCAAAATGTTTTCTCCCTATGTTGGCCTGTCTATTCATCTTCTTATCAATGACTTTGAGCAGGTAATTAAACATATTGGGACCTTTATGAATTTATTCTTTTATTACATGTAGTTTGGGTATAATACCTAAAAAATGTAATCTAATTCAAGTTGAAAGACTTTGTACTATTTTTTCTTCTAAGAGGTTGAAATTGGCACAATCATTTGGCACAGCAGTTAAGATGCCACCTGGGGTGCCCACACCTGGATCAGAGTGCCTGGGACCGAGTCCTTGCTTTGCTCTCCCCTCCAGCTTCCTGGGAGTACACACACGGTGAGGCAGCAATGACGGCTCCAGTACTTGTGTCACTGCAGTCTATGTGGGAGATCCTGATGGACCCAGTCCTAGTTTCAGCCTGGCCAGGCCCAGGTTAGCTCAGACCTCCTAGGTGCACACCAGTCAATAGGAGATCTCTTTTCTCTGTCTTTTTGCCCTTTGAATAAAACCAGGAACCAGGTGATATTTTGAGTTCACAGTACTACTCATTCTATGAGTCTGCTGTATGGACCACTTTTCTTATTAGACTCTTCACTGCTTTTGAATTCTACTATTGTTTCCAAACACTTTGTCCTATTTATATGATCACTTTAACACTTGATCCTATCTCTATATTCACTTTACCACTTAATCCTATCCATGTACTCTATAACACGGAAGCTGCTCTTTTTATCAGGCAGCTTAAGGGATTTTGGCATCCTATGGCAAGTTCTTGAACTGTACCCTTAGAACTAAGAGATCTAATACTTGATCAATCACATGCTGCCTCCTAGGGTGCACATTAGCAGGAATCTGGACAGGAAACCCTTTGGTGACTCAAACCCCGCCACTCAAATATAGGATGTGAGCATTGCAAAAGCCAGTTAACTGCTGAAGGAAATGCCAGTCCCAAAAGATGCACATTTTAAGGTTTCCATTTGAGGGGATGATCAAAACTGGGATTTTTTGGAAATTTTAAATTCTGATGTCTAAATAGATGTAGGAGTCTCCACTGTGGCATAGTAGGTTAAGCCACCACTTGAGACACTGGTCTCCTCTGTGAGTGCTGGTGGAGTCCCAGGGGCTCCACTTTCAGCTGATCCAGCTCCCTCTTGTGGTCCAGGGAAAGTAGTGGAAGATGACCAGAGTCCTTGGCCCTTGAGCTCCTGTGAGATACCCAGATGGCATTTTGGGCTCCTGGCTTTGGCCTGGCTCAGGCCTGGCTGTTGTAGGCACTTGGGGAGTGAAACAGAAGATGCAAGGTCTCTCCCTCTCAGTGTGTGTGTGTTCCTCTCTGTCTGTAACTCTGCTTTTCAAATAGAATAATACATCTTTTAAAATAATTATTAAAATAGGCCGGCGCCGTAGCTCAATAGGCTAATCCTCCACCTTGCGGCGCCGGCACACCGGGTTCTAGTCCCGGTTGGGGTGCCGGATTCTGTCCCGGTTGCCCCTCTTCCAGGCCAGCTCTCTGCTATGGCCAGGGAGTGCAGTGGAGGATGGCCCAGGTGCTTGGGCCCTGCACCCCATGGGAGACCAGGAAAAGCACCTGGATCCTGGCTCCTGCCATCGGATCAGCACGGTGCGCCGGCTGCAGCGGCGGCCATTGGAGGGTGAACCAACGGCAAAAGGAAGACCTTTCTCTCTCTGTCTCTCTCTCTCACTGTCCACTCTGCCTGTCAAAAAAAAAAAAATAATTATTAAAATATTCAAAAATGATATTGTAATGTACATATCCATAGTGTAATGATTCCTCTAGATCAGTATATAAAATATTCATCATTTCACAGTTAACCTTTATGTGCCTGCACATGGTAAGAACCCACAAAATGTACTGTTAGAAAATTCTCAGACTTTCTCATTCTAATGGAGAATAGAATGCTCCACTAATAACTCAGATTCTCATGCTTAACTTCAGAACCCTAGATTTAGTTCTTCTCTATAACTACCACTTTGTACTCTTGGGTCAACATCTCTCTATTCTTCCAACCAGACTCCACCACCTTGAAGACCTCTATTTTCTGTTTTGACATATTCAACAATTTTCCATTTTTTCTTTCAACTCCACACATAACAGACTTCATACAGTGTTATTATTTCTATATCTCATTTATTTCACTCACCATAATGTCCTCCAATTTCATCCAGTTTCTCAGAAATGACAGGAGTTCCTTTAACTTTGAGTTGAACAGCATTCCATCATATAAATCTATATATTTAAGCATCATCATACATCTATCATGTATAATGTATTGTTACACATAATATATATATAAATATCTATACACAGCCATGTATAAGAATGATTCAAACGTTTCAAGTGATTCCAAAGTGTCATGGAAAGTCTGTAGTATCCTTTTATTAAAATATACTTTTCAAGCCATATGTAGAGCCAGCTAGGGATTGCAGGTATCTCTGCTAAATGCTGATATGGCTTTTTGTTTCTTCTTTTTCTGCACATATACCCACAAGGAGGATGAATGGGTCATTTGACAGTTCTAGTTTAACATTTCAAAAATACTTTAATAATGTTTTCTATAACGGCCATACCACTCAACATTCTCACACATAATGTAAAAGGGTTTCCTTTTTGGTACACCCTTGCCCACATTTATTCTCTCTTGTCTTTGTGAAAGCAGCTGACCCTATGGTTCTGAGGGGATATCCCTCTGTGGTTTGGAATGGTGTTTCCCTGATGAGTACTGATAATGGGCAACTTGTCATAAACCTGGTAGCAATGGGTATTCCTTTCATGGAGTAATGTCTACTCAGGTCCTTTGCCAATTTCTCAGATGAATAATTATTTTGGCTACTGAGTTCTGTGAGTGCTTTCACACTATAGCACAGAGAAAGCAAAAGCATTGTGAACAATGTACATAGGTCTTGGCCCCATGTGGGGATCATGGGGATACTTACGTTGGGGCTGTGGAACTGCACCACTGCCATTTTATTGGATTGTGCAGTGTGTTGCATGGTGGAATTGAGCATGGGTAGAAAAATGTACCTAGCTGAAGAGGGCAGGAAGTCTGTGCTTTCTCTCCCACCCCTTTTTTTTGGTGGTGACACTGAAGTTACCAGGATCTCTAGTTTGCATGGAAAGCTTGTGTTCAGCATAAACCTGCTCTGATTCCATCCAGGGATCTCCCTGGCCAGGTGCACAGGTTCACTGTGGAGTCAGTTTCTCTCCTGACCTCAGTGCTCATGGAAGGTGGCTCCTTCAGGGGCTGGGCAGTGGAGTAGGCCTTTCTGAGTATCCCCTGAGGTTTCTGACACAACGTGTCCTTCATCTCACCCACACTTGGTTTCACCCTAACATTACCTTGTCATTCTCTGGGTCATTCTCACGTCCCAGAGAGCTGCTCATCTTCCTTCATCTGCACCTTCAGTTCTGGGTTCTCAGGATGTGGACTCAGCTCCGGATCTGGGAGGAAACACAGAGGAGGGACTAAGTCAGCTCTCAGCCTCAGTTCCCAGGGCACGTGTGGTTCCCCAGGGACTCAGAGGAACCTAAGCAGCAGGACCTCAGAGAGGAACAATACACACTTTACCTCACTGATGAGGAACCAGAGGGCCACAGAGACAAAGAGGTTGTCTCAGCACCACAGCACCTGATGGAAGGAGGGCCACCCATGAGCTTTGATCTGCAGCTTCCCTGTGCCGAACATGGCTCTTGTATTCCAAGAATGCATTGTTGGGTTTTGTGGACTTCAGATAAAGAACTGCTATTTCTGCCGCTAAAAGAAACAAACAAAAGTATGAGGGTCATTCCTTGGACACAGCTTTTCCCACATTTCTATTGTCCCATTATGTATTCTCTGTCTGTTTTCAACCACTGGGTGATAGAATGGGAGCAGAGAACACACAAGGTGAATGAGTATTTAACACAGCCCTGCCTGTCCTGTGTGGGCCCTTACCTCTGGAATTCTCCCTCAGGTTTTCTCCTCTGCTGCAATGCTGCAGAGTGTCAGACCTCATGGAGGTCATTTCTGTATGGAGATCCATGTTCTTCTTTTTGTCTCCTGGAGCCAGGGAGAGTAGAGATTCATTCTGGACCTCTGTGGACCCAGCTTTTCAGCGAGGCAATGCTGCTAGTTTCAAAGATAAAAAAGTAAACTCCACAATGACCAATGGAAATCAGGCCAATAAAGATTTTCCAGAGGTGCCTGAGATTGTGAGAACAGACCCTCGTAAAGTGGTCAGAGCCAAGCACGGGGCATTGGCAGACTGACTCAGGTAAGGTGTATGTGCAAAACAACCAAGAGAAGGCTGCTGACACCAGGAAGAGGACAAACATCAGAGGAGTGTGAGAAGAAAGGACGATTACTGGCTCAAATGAAGATGGAAGTATCGCAGGCTGAGACCCAGAGGAAAGGCCCCACGTCGCAGAGGATTAGTCCTCGGCCTTGAAACCTATCCCAGGAAGTCTTGTTGGATTTGCCCATCTCAACTTGAAAACTTTTGGATTCATGACTTCCTTGTAGGCTCCATTTTTGCCCTTGCTGAATTAGAGTCACTGTCATTATCACCCTATGTCCCCTGCACATGGGGGCAGATAAGCAGTGTGTTTAATGTCAGAGTAGCACAGATGGAAGGAATCACACACAGCATGCACATGTAACAAATGCCTCCAACCCCTCATTCACATCCCCCTTCATGACCCAGAGAAATCCCACATTCCTGCTGTGAGGACTCCACCTGACAGGGGAAGTGTTTCCATTCCTTATGTGTTTTGGATTAGTAATTCTCTATTAGGTACACAGTGTGGAATTCCAAAATCACTGGCCTTATTATATACTCAACCATCTTGATGAGAATTGGTAAGTGCTATCCAATTCTATACAGATACAAAAAATTAAATACCTTGTGATAAGTTCAACCAGGATGTGAAAGTCCTCTTCAATGAAATTCAAACACATTGAATCTAATGAAAGAAAATGAAGCAGACACAAAATAATGGAATTCCCTCATATATTCTTGATTTGGAAGAATTAATATTATTAAAATATCAAAACTACCCAAAACAATTTAGAGATTCAATGTCGTCCCCATCAAAATACTGATGACATCCTCACAGAATAAGAAAAAAATCTTAAAATTTTTATGAAAACACAAAAGGCTCTGAATACTCAAAATAGTCTTAACACAATAAAGCCAAAGATGGAGGCACCACAGTTCAAAATTAAATATATGCCACAAAGCTATTGAGAAAAAAACAGTATGCTACCAACATAACAATAGACACATAGGACAATGGAAAAAAGAGAACCCCTAGAAATTCACACACCTACATCCCTACACTTACTTTTGACAAAGGTGTGGAAAACATTCCCTGGAGATATGCACATCTATTTTAATGGGACTGGGAAAATTGGATTTTAATTTACAAAAATCAACTCAAAATGGATCATGATCTAAATGTAAGATGTGAAGAGGAAAACATGGAGCAAATGCTCTAAGAAATGGGCAGAGTCAACACAGTTTTTGGGCTAAGACCATAAGAACATGGACAATAAAAACCAATTGGAAAAATCTGATGTTATCAAACCAAGAAGTTTCTGCACAGGTAGAAACACTTCTACCGGTTGCGTAAGTGTACCTGATGCTGTGACATCCAAGGAACTGAGGAATTCTCATTTGTTATTCAGGGACATCATTTGGCCATTTGGAGAATGTGCTTCCCCCATGAGTTACTCTGGTACTAAGATCTATCATTGATATTCAGTCAGTTTGATCCCTGGGTGACACAGCAGGACCGAAGAACACTGAAAGGATCAAGTAGTGATTGCAGTCAGACACAGAATGAGTTTCTGTGACCACCTCTAGACCATCAGGCTCCTATGCCAGAAAAGAGTCTTCCTGAGACAGGAGCACTGTCTGCCTTGTGCAGTTCCTGTCCCAGAGCCTCTGCAAGTGACTCGGAGTAAGGAGTCACCACCACCATCAAGACCCATGACAGAAAACCCACTGGAAAAAGAACATAGGGTACTCACAACAAAATGATGAAATTTCTAAAAATCAAGTTCTTACCCATCCCTTATCCATAATAACTGTGAATGTCAATAGACAACATTACCCAGTTACAAGATACAGACAGGATGACTGGATGAAAAGCAAGACCCAACCACAAGTCACCTACAAGAAACACACCAGTAATGACAGAGACTGAAAGGGTAAGGATGGGAAAAGATGCTTCATGCTAATGGATATTAGATGTGAGTAAGAGTACTTACGGTTGGATCAGATAAAACAGGTTTTATCTGTTAAATAATATGGTAAGTGCATATGCACCCATTGCTGCAGCACACTAATTTATAAAATAAAATTATTCCATCTAAAGGACACATGAATTCTAATGCAGTGATAGTGGGGGACTTCAACACTCACCTTTCTTCAACAGGAAGAGATCACCTGGAAAAAATTAACAAGCATCAGAGAGAAACTACTACAGACCAAATGGCCATAAGAGATGACTACAGAATATTTCACTCCACAGCTGCAGAATACACATTCTTTTCATCTGCACATGGAACATGGATGCTATAAGACTAGAAATCAACAACACAAGAACCCCCAAAGGTATGCAAATACATAAAGGCTGGATAAGAAACCAAGAGGGAAATTTAAAAATTCCATGAAACTAATTATAATGGAAGCACAACACACTGAATCTGGTGGGAAATTCTAAAAGTAGTATGCAGAGGAAAGTTTATGGGATTAAGTTCCTACATCAAATAATTAGAAAGACTTCAAATAACCTAACAAAGTATCTCAAAAATCCTAGTAAAACAGGAGCAGACCAATCCCAAATCTGTGGAAAGAAAGAATAAGGATGCAAGCAGAAAGAAAGGAAAGAGTGACAGAGAAATGAGGGCCTCAGACACAAAATCCAGAACACTGCAGGAACCCAACACACAGTGGCGTCCACCATGCAAGACTTGTGTGCTTGCATTGCTGTTGTCTATCTCAGAACAGAGCAGTCATCCAATACAAGAGAACACAGAGCATCCCACTGATCGCAGCCTTTCCAGGCCTATTGAGTGTAATCTGAGTTGATATAATCTCACAACAAAGAGTTAAGTGCTGGTAAAAGTTAACAGAAGGTAACAGGGGCTGTCTAGTTTCTGCAAGGAGGTATAGAAAAGATCATTCTCATCAGTGGCTGTGAATGTGAATGGGAAAATCTTCTTGCCAGGCAATGGGGCCAGAACAGCACCATCAGGAATGTACCGGAAATTTGATCTTGCAAGTCCCTTTACAGGATACAACCTGGAGAAGTACCTTCACAATTAACAAGGGACATACCAAATATATGTAGATGATGCTCCTTGAGACATTATTAATAATACTAAACATTTAAATCATTTGAGGAACATTAACTTATGTGAGTAGAATGGTCCATCACACCATGAACAGTTATCCATGTGTCTAAGACAAGGAAGAAGAGTCTGAAAGAGCAGATGGTGATGGACTGGCAAGAACTAATGTGACTGAGCAGTTACTGTGTGCTAGACACAGACAAGCCTCAATGCTTTGCCTCTACATCTCATTAAAATGTTTGCCAAGCCATGTAGAAAGCACTCCTACTTGTCCATTTCTTAGTGTCTTCCCTACCATGACTATTATGAAACACCAGTGAAAGAACCTGAAGCAGACACAAACACTACAGAGACATCCATGTCCACGGATTACAAGAATTAACATGATGAAAATGTCTACTCTATAGAAAGGAGTTTATAATTCAAGGCAACCCACACCAAAATACTATGCACATTATTCATATAACTAGGAAAAGCACCCAGAATTTATGTGGAAAAAGCACAAAAGACAGAGGTGTTGTTTTCAACACTATTTGAGGAGGGATCCTTCCCACACATCCCTGCAATCTCATTAATGTGAGCACGGGGTTCAGGCAGGATTTCTCCACATCTGATTTTAAGGAGAAGGAGATGGGCCTGGCTGTGGCTTTGTAGGGGAAGCCTCAAACAGCCAGGCCAGGATCCTGTGTGGCAGCCGGTTCATGTCCTGGCTGCTGCTCTTGCAATTCAGCTCTCTGCTTATCGCTTAGGAGAGCAGTGGAAGATGGCCCAAGGGCTTGGGCCCCTGCACCTGTGTGGGAGGCCCGGATAAATCCTGGCTTCAGATCAGCCCAGAGCAAGGCATTGAGGCCATTTCGGTGGTGAACCAGCAGATGGAAGCCCTTTTTCTCTGTCTCTCCCTCTCTCTGTAGTGCTAACCCTCAAATAAAGAAATAAATAAATCACACACACAAAACAAGTAAAGAAGGGACCCTGTATGGGTCCAGGGTTATTGCTCAGAGTACCTATGGGTGCATTTTCTGTGTGTATCCTTCTTCCTTCTCTCAGTACCCAAGGAAGCATTTTTCCTTTTCTCACTGTACAGAACACAAAACATGAAGATTCAGAGAAAGGAGCTGCTGGCTGGAGAAAGGGATAGAGGATGAGTGTCTACAGAGTGAAGTTAGAGTAGAAAGCTCAGTTCTGTCTGTGTCCAAATACTTGGACCCCTGCCACCCCCATGGGAGACCTAGATGTAGCTCCTGGCCTTGACCTGGCCCAGTGCTGGCCATTGGGGCCATCTGGGGAGTGAACCAGTGGATGGAAAATTCTCTCTCTCTCTCTCTCTCTCTCTCTCATGCTGACATTCAAATAAATAATTTTTTTAAAAACAATAAAAGAGTAGTGATGTGTACAGTGCAATTTAACTTATCATCAAGACTGGATATCATCATGATAATTCTGGAAAAGATGAACTTACAAGCCATACTCAGTTTTCCCTTTATTTCTCCACCTGTACAAGTCTTAGCTTCAGTCCTCAGTGCACACTGAACACACATCTCAGTCACCCAGCGACTCAGAGAAAACTGAGCAGGAAAGGCCCCCAGACAGGCCCATTGCCTTATCATACTGATGAGGAATATGACTTCCAGAAAGAAAAAGAGATTTTCCCAAGCCCCTATCACACAAAGTAGGGATTCTTATCTGCTTTGGTTACCCTATATCCCAGAGCCTCCACAGGAGACTGTGGGTAAATCAATTAATAATTGTCATATTCATAGCTAACAATCAGCAAGGATAACACACTTTTTTGTTTCAATAATAAGCATCCCTTTCTTTGCTAATGCCATTACAAAAACAGATTATACTAGCAACAAAAAAGTATCCTCTTGAATTGAAGTCAGAGGCAGTTACTCCCCAAAATGTTAAGTAAAACAGTGTACAACATCAGTATTAAAATGTGAAATTTTACATTGTCTTTACTACAGGTAAAGCTGCTGCGTGCAGTGCCAGCATCCATTATGGCCATCAGTTTGAGTCCTGACTGCTCCAGTTCCCATCCAGCTCTCTGTTATGGCCTGGGAAAGCAGTAGAAGATGGCCCAAGTCCTTGGACCCCTGCACCTACATGGGAGACCCGGAAGAAGCTCCTGGCTCCTGGCTTTAGATGGGCCCAGCTCCGCCTGTTGCAGTCATCTGGGTAGTGAACCAGTGGATGGAAGACCTCTTTCTCTCTCTACCTCTGCAGGACATGAATGTGGGTGAAGCAAGGTCAAATTCATTAAGTGTTTGTTTAATAAAAGGCAGAAGTGAAAACCAATCACTTAGCAAAAGAGACATAAATCGTAGGCAACAAAACTGTCAAAGGACTGTTTTAAAATTTACTGTAAATGAAAGAAGTTGAAAATATTTCCATTTGATTATTCTTTATGGGGCTAGCCTATTGTCCAGCCTGTACTTTTTATTAGTTGACTTTTTCTTTAGTGGAGCACTAAGTCTTTGATTATAATGTAAATTGAAAATATATTATCTCAAAAATACAAAACAATAAGTTGAAAATAAAACTGCCGAGAGAGCTACACATCTTGCTCATGGTCACAGATTAGTGACTGAGTTGGAAGTGGAGTCAGGTCAGGCCATCTGCAAAGCCCATGCTATCAGCTTCTGTGCTGTCGTGCCATGCTCTGTTTAAGGGTGGCTCCAGGAAAGCACAGGTTACATTTCCAGGGCAGAGCACACCAGGGACGTGGAGACAGTGAGGGTGGCTTTTACTGCCAGAAAATGTGGAGAGCCCGTGAGGGTGCAGACAGGGCAGTTGGGCTTCCTGAGTTTCCTCCCTGTGACCCCACTCTTGTGGCTGTCATCGCCTGTCCTCCTGCCTTCATTACAAGTGCTTGGAGAACAGAAAACTGTTAGGACTTTATCATGCCTTTGAGGGAGGCCACAGCACAGGCGTCAGTTCAGTCCTTCAATATCCACAAGGGTCCCCGGATGGACAGGGTTACTGATGGAAGGTGAAAAAAATCCCTAGGACCCAGTTCTTGTCAGTCGTCAGAGTTCTATTTTCAGCAAACAATGCTGAGATTTAATGATTTAAAAAATCATTAATAGGGACCGGCACTGTGGTGCAGCAGGTGAACACCCTGGCCTGCACCACTGGCATCCCATATGGGTGCCGGTTCTAGTCCTGGCTGCTCCTCTTACAATCCAACTGTCTGTTATGGCCTGGGAAAGCAGTGGAGGATGGCCGAGGTCCTTGGGCCTCTGCACCCATGTGGGAGACCTGGAAGAAGCTCCTGGCTCCTGGCTTAAGATCGGCCCTGCTCCAGCCATTGATCTCATCTTCACATGATTACATCTGCAAGAACCTTATTTCCGCATAAGGTCACAATCACAGATAGTGGTGTTAAGACTTTAAAACATCTTTTGTCTTGGAACGGGGAGGGACAACTCAACTCACACGAAGTGGTTTGTGATAGGACTCTAAACTGCGTGCTCATTGCTACAAAGAGGGGCTGCTGATTCAGGAGGCTGTTTTATAGAATCCTCTATCTAAGGATGGAAACTTATGCAAGACCTTTAGTGGTGATGCTGGCTGAGACCCTGTAGGCAGAAGAAGAAAAGCTGTACTTGCAGATCTCTTCAAAGGATGCTGCCGACTAGTGGGCTCAGCACTGGTCTCTCTTCCTAGGAAGTTGATTTATTAGGCAGCAGCAGGAACTAGATCCATCACTAGACCAGTGTCACTGAGAGGGAGCACATGCTGGTTCACCTATGCATAGCTTTCACCCCTTCCACCATAGCTCCTCTGTGCTACACTCAGGTGGCCAGCAACAGGGCTGACTGTCATCAGTGGGCTCAGCCCTTCTACCTTTAGGGCTCTGTTCTGTGGTGAATAGTCTCTGGAGTGTGTTAAGAGTGAGAAAAAGATGCTCACACTTTGTGCTTCTTCCCTTTTGTTCTTCCATCTGCCTCTTTCACAGATCTCCTTCTTCCAAATCTTCCACCTTCCAGGCTGTTAGCACTATTCATGAGTCTCTGTATGTATATATTCTTTCCTCAGGCCATTTCTCTTTCCACACTAAATGCATGATCACAGGCACCACCTAAAACTATTCCCACTGGGAGAATCCCCCCCACCAGTCTCCCAAGGTTATTCTAGAGTGGGACCATCAACCTTCTTTTTGACCTGACCAGCACACCAGACTGTCCTGTATGTGGACCACTCCCAGCTTCCCTCGTGCTGCACGGGCTTGTCATGCAGCCATAGCTCTGAGCTGGGGGGCAGGTGCTCAGGTGGCAGTGATTAACGACAGGGTGGTCTAGCCTACCCACTGGTGGAACTTTCTTATACACTTTGGCTCTGCTATGTACACTTCTGTTTTATGTCACTTCCCTGCTGCCCCCACCCCATCTTGATGGTAGGTCTGCAGTAATCTGATGGCTATATTTGTTCCATTGTCTCTTAATGTCTCTTGCTTAGATGCTGTTCCTCTGCTGGAGTCCTGGTGTACACCAAACTGCTTTTCAAATGGTACAGTGTTTTCTACTGCCAATGGTGTTTCTTTGTTCCAGAACCCTTAGAGGTCTACACTGTGACTCTTTTATTGATGTTTATCACAAAATCCACATGGAGCCTCTTCTAGTACCATAAGGTTGGCAGGGTTGCTGTCACCACAACCAGACCTGCTGGTGGAGTCTGTTCTGGCTCTTATCTAACAAAGCTGCCATCTTTCATGTCACTTACCATGGGGATCAGAGCAATATTCCCAGGTATGGTATGTGCTGTCTCTAGACCCAAAGTGCCCAGAGAGCACTGGGCTTCTTTATTAGTGGCAGGAAGTCTCCGATGCAATATATTTTCCTTTATATTGGAAGGAATGTCTTGTCATGTCACAGTCTACTGGCCCCTAATATCTTCAATGATATGATGGACGTCTGAATCCTCAGAGGTTTTTTTTTTTTTCCCCATAAGAGCACATGCATGAAAAATGTGCACTATCATTTTAAAAAGATTTATTTATTTATTTTAAAGGCAGAGTTACAGAGAGAAATGAGAGAGAGAGAGAGAGAGAGAGAGAGAGAGAGAGAGTTAGTTTCAATCTGCTGGTTCACTTCCCAAATGGCTGCAATGGCCAGGGATGGGCCAGGCTGAAACTAGGAGCCTCATCCAAGTCTCTCATGTGAGTTCAGGGGCCCAAATACTTGGCCATTTTTCACTGCTTTCCCAGGCATGTTATCAGGGAGCTGGATCAGAAGTAGGGCAGCTAGAAATCAAACTGATGCCCATATGGGATGGCGGTGTCACAGGGGGAGGCTTAACCCATAATGCCACAATGTCAGCCCTATGCACACTTCTTTCTATTACATCTTTCAACAGGCCATCAAAGAAGGCTGCACTTTTCTCTGAAGGGAGGAGAGAACTTCCACTTTGCTTATGGCCCTGTCTAAATACTGACAGAGTTTGTGGTCACAAAAGGCCTCTGTAGCCTTGGCAGCTCATGGCAAGAGCCTCGGGTGATCACTGAGGTCATAAATAAGAGTGTTAATAGTTAAATTAACAACAGGAGTCACTGTGCACTTACCCCACATGTAGGACCTCTGTCCTTAATGAGTTGTACTATGAGAATTAACTGCAAAACTTGTTCCCAAACAGTACTTTTTACATTGTGTGTGGGTATGTGTGCAAACTGTTGAAATCTTTACTTAGTATAGAGTTGGTCTGCTGTACATAAAGTTAATTAAAAATGAATCTTAAAGAAGAATGAGATGGGAGAGGGAGTAGGAGGTGGGATGGGAGTGGTGAGTATGGGGGGGAAAACCACTATATTCCCAAAGTTGTGCTTATGAAAATTATATTCACTCAATACAAGATTTTAAAAAAAATTACATCTTCCATGATTTTTTGAAGTACCTTTGCATTTTTAACCAAAGATTTCAATACATTTGCAACTTTTCTTCTCACCTGTCCAGTTCTACTA